TTACAGGTGCCCACCACCATGCGCGGCTAATTTTCTGTATTTTTAGTAGAGATGGGGTTTCACCATGTTGGTCAGGCTGGTCTTGAATTCCTGACCTCAAGTGATCCACCTGCCTCGGCCTCCCAAAATGCTGGGATTACGGCCATGAGCCACTGCACCTGGCCCCAGATGGAATTTTAACCACCTCAAATTCAGCACTTCACAAATGGAAATGTGTGCCAATCTCCAATCATTCCATAAATAAAGGGAAATTAGAAGTGTATCACCAAGCATGCCTGTTTCAGTCACATTCTTCCCTAATCATCAACCCATTCAGCTGAAACCTCAGCGTCACCATGACTCATCCTCCTCCTATCCTGGTAAGTTAGGCAGAGAGTCCTATTGGTTTTTTCTTCAGAAATGTTTTACTTCTCAGCTTTCATCACTAATCTCAATCTAAACATCTTCAAGCCTGTTCATTGCAAAAGCTCATCAGCTGTGTTTTGCTGATTCTAGATTTTTCCTTATAATCTCTCCAGCAGAGCTGACAATACAACCTTGCTCGGTTGGCACTCTTACCACATTATTCCCACCAAAAATACCTTCAGTGACTTCCGTCTTCAGATCAAATTCTTTTTCCTGTTTTAAAGGCTCTGCCCTAAGTGAATATAATACAACCAACTTCTTCATATTCGTTATCCTCTATTCTGCTTGGACTTAACTCTTTTATAAACCAAAAGCATGGTCCACTTTTACTATATGTCTTTACTCAAATTGTAAATCAGACGTATATCATCATCTGAAATCAACTTCCACCCCTCTGTCAATCACCTCCAAATATTTACAGACTCAAGCAAAGCCCAGCATCTCTTATCCATTAACTTATTTACAATTGTAACACACAGTTTCACAGTTAATCATACACTGTATTAAACTGTGTATTCCTGTGGTTTTATAGACTCATCTTTATCCAAGCTGAATTACTGTAAGTTCCTGGGGCTGAAGAATCATGGTATATTTCCTACATCATAAAATTAATTGTTAATCATATAGTATATAAAAAGTAATATTTAATAATTGATTGCCTTATAAATAAAACTAAGTAATTACCTTCACCTAAGAGATGGCTTGATTCAACAGTTTGAAATTTGAGACATTTGATAATCAAAATTTCTACTCTGATCTCTGATTTTTTCTGTTGCTCTAGGCAAGCCATTTTAGTTACTTTGGATTCATTTTCTTAATTCAAAAATGGAAGTAAGACTTGCCATCTGTCTTATTCATAGACACAGGAGAGAAGTATCCTAGTCAATACAAAGCACATAGCTAATACAAAGTTTAATAAAAATGATAAATAACATCTATTATCAAATTGAACCATTGTTCAATTTCTTCTGCCCTTTCAGTTCTTTGATTCAATATTCTTTCACTGAAATCAGAGAGCTTTAATTTGAAAAAGTGTTTTACTAATAATTGTAGACTTTCTACATTAGCATTTTTTTATCATTAGGCACACCTGGATAATATCAAATTATTCTTTTAGGGAAATCAATATATACTAAAAATGTGTAGAAAAACATCTGGCAATAACATTTCAGGTAAGGGAAATTTGAGAATGAGAAAACTACATCATAGAATTCCCTGTTTTCTATAGAAACTTTCTTTAAATAATTTAAAATAATATTTTCTTTTTTATTTTTTAATTCCTGAAGCAAAATTATTGTTCTCTTGCTACAGGAGCCACTTTTCTTTTTACTGTGAATTATGAAGAATAGAAAAAACAAAAAATCATTTTCTGGGTCTCTAAAGAATCAGAAAAAGCTTTAAATAATTTTACTATATTGAAGATTTTTGTAGTAAACTATTAAAATCAAATAAATGCCTTTACTCGAGAGACAATAACTTTGTTAATAACACATCATGTTAAGTAGGTTTTGTTTAGTGTTTTCATGTGGGAAAAAAATAGATTTTAGGCTGGTCATGGTGGCTTATGCCTGTAATCCCAGCACTTTGGGAGGCTGAGGCAGGTAGACCACTTGAGATCAGGAGTTTGAGACCAGTCTGACCAATATGGTGAAACCATATCTCTACTAAAAATACAAAAATCAGCCAGGCATGGTGGCATACACCTGTTATCCCAGCTACTTGGGAAGCTGAGGCATGAGAATCCCTTGAACTCCAGAGGTGGAGGATCACAACACTGCACTATAGCCTGGGCAATAGAGTGAGACTCTTCTCAAAAAAAAAAGTAAAGGCATTTATTTGATTTTAATATTTGCCTCAAGTAAAGGCATTTGATTTTAATAGTTTACTACAAAAATCTTCAATATAGTAAAATTATTTAAAGCTTTTTCTGATTCTTTAGAGACCCAGAAAATGATTTTTTGTTTTTTCTATTCTTCATAATTCACAATAAAAAGAAAAGTGGTTCCTGTAGCAAGAGAACAATAACTTTTCTTTAAAACAGAAAGAGTATTTCTTTCCTAAAAAATCACAACTATTAGAGCTAATAATCTGTGAGTGTCCAACAAGGTAGATCAGATATAACCTAACTTGTCAGAGAGGAGGGGAACATGCTAAGGAGAGATGAAATTCCTAGAAATAAGATTTCCCACATTTCTTAATTATATAATTTCTCCATTTATTTTCTCTTTCCAAATATGTGTCTTAAGCCCATTGCAGTTTACAATGGTAATAAGAATTTTTTAAAAAGAAATACAACTCAAATCTTTTTTTTTTTTTTACTATTTAAAAGAATTCTGTGTAGACGTGAATTTTTGCTGAATTAATAAACGAAGCACTAAACTTTGTAGATTATTGAGTAACAAATTGTGAAAGGAACATGGCAATGTGAGAATTAAAAGTGAACTTTAAGTAAGCTGAAGGCAGCATTCAGAACATGAAATAAAAATTTGTGTTCTTAGATTTCAGAAAACAAAATATATGATCATAAAGATATGTTATACAATTACAATGTTAATTACCGTAACAAAAGTAAAATTAGTTTATCCTGTTTTCAATACTAAGGAAAACTAGAGGGAAATAACTTGCCCAAACATCTCTCAGAATTATCTTCAATTACACTTAGTAACTTATTTTATCATAGCTGGAGAGTATTTCAATATTTTTAGTGTTTAGCCTGCATTAACACCTCCAAAATCCTGTTTTATGCCTTTCAGAGATTAATAAATGTTAGAAGCTAAAATTTGTAAGAAATTGAATCCGAATTATATTTTTATTTCTGAATTCTTTCAAACATCAAATACGTTTTAGATCATAGTTTTAGCCACTGCCCACTGGTGACCAGGTGTTCTTAAGCTTAAGCTTTAAAAAAAAAAAAAAGGCCTGACTTTCAAAGTCAGATCTCTAGGGAGTCTGCAGACATAATTGTTAGGGCATGTAGAGACAAAAGCAACAGTACACTTACCCGCCCCTTCAAAGCCTGCTTGTCCCAGCATGCGTAATCATCTGGAATCCTTATAAATTAGACACTGCCTAAAAATCTAAGAAAAAATGTTTAGATGTATTCTCGGAACAAAAGTCTATCTGAACCTGAACCAGCATGTTTAAAGCCTAATGACAGTTTAAAAACAAATTACTAGACATTATATATTTTCTTTCAATACATGTCATATTTATTAATTTTTAAATAAATATATCTACCTATCTCATGGATTGTATTTATTTTCAAAACTGTATACGTTTAATAGGTGCCAAAGTCATTGATTTCTTTTCTCATTGTTCTCCGAAAACATTTTACCAGGAAAACTGTTATTTAGTCTTCCACATTATTTCCAAGCAAAATTTGGTCATCAAAAAGTTTAAGTTTCTTTCTGCTCTACATTTCAGACAATTAATTTTTTTCAAGATATATGAAAAAGATACTGACTCTAGAATTTAGGGACCTAAATAATTCATAATAGAAAATTGACCTGAGTGTTTCCTTCATCAGGACCTACCTACCAATGGTGGTAGAGAAACAGAGACCGACTCAAACTTCAACTTCCCGGTCAGCTTGCTTTTGTTCTGCAGGTAGGTTTTATAGAAATTCTATTCCCATAAAATCTAATGGATAGCTTAAATTTAGAAGTAACAAAACCTGCTTCTGTGCTTATCATAAAAAAATCTTACACTGCCATCTAATGAATGGCATTCATTCATTCATGGACTTAATGAATCTATACATTTAATAAACATTAATCGAACACCCACTACGCTTCCATTGGCAAAAGAAAAAAATCAGTAAGTTCAGGCAGAAAAGTGAGTCCAGTAAATCAATGACAGCAGGATACAATGAGATCCACAAAAAGGATGTGCTCCAGATGATGAGTTCAGGCGTCAGGTAGTAAAGCAACCTGGGGAATCTGGAAGAGCTTACTTTTGACTTAATCTTAAATGTTGGGTAGAAGTTATATGTGGAATAAGGAGATGGGAGCGGGGGAGGAAAATATAATCCCTGTAAGAGTCTTCAGTGTGTGAAAAGAAATAATGGTATCATGTTTTGTTACCGTTGCACTACTGAGAATACATTTAATACGGCTGCCGAGAATGTGGAAAGCTGGAGAAAAAAAGGTGGCAGGTGATGGAAACCCCTGTGTGTTATATGGCGGAGTTTGAATTTTATCCATCCACAAAAAATAAATAAATAAATATGAAACCATTGAAAAGTTTGACCTGATTTGAGTTTCAGGAAGAACATTCTGGGGAAACATGTGCAAGAGTAAAGAGGCAAAATTCTTGTTAAAGGCATGAAATGAAAAGATTCTGAACTTGTACAGGCAGAAATAGAACGGGAGCTAGATATTTCAGACCAGGGGACAGACAGATATAGACCACGAGAAAGAAGAGTGTTTACGGGAGACTGAATCTGCCACCACTTTCAGTTTTTAGTAAACTGGTGTGAGGTCAGATGCTCCAACAAGGTCATGGAACCAGTGATAAATAAATTCAATCATTAAAACTAAGGCCTTCAATTTACGTGAATATGCACTGCTTGAAAAGAAAGCAAAACATGATATGTATTATGTAAACTATCAAATCTTTATTTAAGTTTCCATTTAAAATATTTTCAAGTAAAAATGTGACAAAAATGGTTATAAAAAGGTTGAAGCAACTAGAAGCATGACAGATATAATACATATAAATACAACCAAAATTCAGTTCAATGCAAAGTTGAAGGACATCATATTGCACCAAAATTTATTCCATACAAAAGCACATGCATCGTTTTCATAAGATGAAAACACACTTATTTCATAGCATCTTACCACTTACACAAATAGCCTGTAAACACCATCTGGCATTGTGATTGCTGCACCAGAACTCTCCCCAGAGGGAAATCATTTAGCTAGAGAAGAATCCATTTTATTTCACATATCACATGCTTGTGCAGGCATCAGTGCCAAGGAACCTTAAGAAACACAACACAATCCACAGATGAAAGTCTCTCTGCACCATTTAACTTCATAAATATCTTAGTTCTCTTAATATGATTAGAATGTAGATGCAGAAAGAAAATGTAGTTTTGCTCTTTAAGAATTTATCAGTCAATATAAGACATTGTATTAAATTTGTATAAAATACACACAACCCCTTTACTAAGTTTCATAATCATAATGCCAGAGGGAAGAAGCCTGCTTGAGTTGAGGACCAGTTAGGATACTGAGGATCACTCTTTCTCACCTGGATCTCTCTGTTCTTTTATTTTCAAACCCATGATGCTCCTGCAATTCTGGGAATGGTATAAGGTCGTAACTAATGCATTCCAGATCCAAGTTAGGGATTTAGCTGGTCTATAAATTACAATTTAAGCACAGATCAAACAGATGGCTGCCAGCATAACCCTCAAGAGTAACCTGAGTTCCAAGACTTTCCCACCGGGCTAAATGGATTCCACTGCTGCAAATTATAAATGCTTGTCACAGGATATGAAAGGTATTTAAATACATCCATAGATAGTACCTAATAATATGTTAATATAAACATAACAACACATATATTATTATTCTACCCCTTATCAACTGAAAATGAAGTTACCATTCCTAGGCCAAATTTTTAGACAAAGCTTTCTAAAGCCATTTCAACAAAGTAAATTCAGATATACTTGCAATAAAAAGACATAAAAGATTCATCTTGAGATGAATTCTGAGTCAATAACTACAAACAATTTCTACCAGTGCATCACTACCACATAATCCATTCTACACAAGCTGTACAAATATTGAGTCAAATCCTGTCAGAAAATTAAGACCCAATAAGTTTGCCAAGTATTCAGTACAAAAGGCTGTTTGTCTTGCCTTTTTCTGACATGTGCATTATAAAATCACAGGTAGCTAACATTTATTATCAGTAAAAAACAGCAACATTTGTTCACCCGTTTTGCATAGGGAGAAAAACAATATATTTCGTAGCATTAAGTGATACACTCTTTAAACATATGATGCTTATGTTTGCGAAGTTCCCAAATGTTGAGAAGTACTACTGAAAACTCATTACTATTGTGCAAAGATAAAAATTTGGGGCCGATCTCTGTATTCAAAATAACCAATTTTAAAGCAAAATATATCCTAATACTACTATAGATTCTAGGAACTGTCCTAAGAGAGTAAAATGTCATTTCCTTTCTGAACATGAATAACATCAAAGGAAGAACCCAGTTCTTAAGGCTCAAGTAGGAAATTTATAGAAATTTGATTTATAGCAGTAGTAATAACATTCATAAGGAAAAACTATTAGGTAACAATTTTCTCCAAGAAGAGGATCAGATTACTCAAAATTGTTGGAGAATTCTGGTGGTCTGTGCAATAATCATAATGATTTACATTGCTTTTTTTCTTTCCGAGCAATAAGAAAAGTCTATGGGATAGCACTTGAAATAATTCATATACATAGTCATTTAACATAGATCATTTCTAGTTGAGTATAAGCATACATTCATGGGAACAATCTGTTTCTTTCTTCAAAGTATGTTTCTACTTTGGAATGAAAGAGAAATTCTAGGGAAACATTAATTCAAAAATCCTTTGAAATAAGACAGTTCAAACCTAGGACCAGGGAACCACATTGCATTGCCTCCCAGTGTGATATGACTGTGCTTCCAAGGATGCATCTAATAAAGTTAATTAGTAGGAATATTTGAAGTCTAATTTTATAATTCACATTTAAGTCAGACCACTCACAACCCAACAAATGATACAGCTTTAACCTGAAAAGGCCTAATAGGTTTTCCCACAAGATGCTGTACAAAATACGCTGTCACACAAGGTACTCGAAATACAGTCACCACTGCAAAAGAGATACCTCTGCATTACTCATTTTTTCCCCCTCTGGCTTTCAGCACAGCTTTTTGAGGCTTCCACAGGAGGTAATAAGGACTTAGCAAGCAGGTTTCCTAACCAATATCTTAATTCACTTGAAAGTCATACTTTAAAAAAAATCAGTAGTGTACACGTTGAGGGAAAAGAAGCATGTTCACTTCGAAACAAGTGTGGCCCCCGGTATGGCTCTCAGATGCCTGACACCCTACAGTTTTGTGAGAGAATTGTTAGCTGTAAAGCTGTAAGGGCAGTTATAGTTATACTATAAATGTATGCTTGATTCAAGTACACTGAAACACACACATGTAACAGATAGCTATTAGGAGATCGTAACCATCTTCTGCACATTTTAAGGTCAATAGTAACAGAGAGGAGGGAGAAAAATAACTACCAAGAAAATAAAACTAATTGGTAGATTCACACTAAAAAAATCTGGGTAATCATATAAATTCATTGTTATGAGGTTAAGGAAGAACAATTATCTCACAACATATGGAAAATTGGTGAATTTCCTGTGAGATCATGATTTATGCTTTTGTGAATCTACATCTGATCTAAAATTAGACAAAACATTTATTTTTAGACACCAACTAATTTGAAAATACAAGGGAAGAAATAATTATCTCCCCAAATTGACTATTAAAAATCATTTTTAAGAGCAGTACCAATAAACTAAGGACTACCTAAACATCATGCTCTCAGACATTATTTTAAAATCTTTTTAGGTACTGTACTAATAAAATAAGGGGTACCTAGAGATCACACTTTTAGATATTATATATTTTAACACAGATTAAAAATACTGTTTATGGGAAAATTAAGCTTAAATACATGTATAGGTAATAATTATTTTGCCCATATACAAGTAATGTAAACAGAAGCTATCAAGGTGACCCATTATCTACTCTAGTTTATATCCACGATGGGCTTCTTCCCAGTTACACAATGCCATATTTTAACTCCTCACTTTGAATGGTTAAGAAAGCAAAATGTAACTCAGTAAACTTGATCAGCACCAACGTACTACATATTATGGAGGGTAAAGTGAAGCAAGAATATATTCAAGTAAAATAAAATGTCTTGACTGATGGGCATTCAAATCCCACATCTCTCTATGTTTCTTTCCTAACTAAGAAAAAGAGCTATAATTAAAATCCCATTTATTGTTTTTCTATAATTCAGAATCAGCATATAAAATATGATGAAGGTGAAAATATCTCCCTATATACCACATCATATATATGATGAGAAAGCCACTTGTTATATATGGATATTCCAATTAACTCATAAGTTAAATTTAAAAAAATATATCCTCCATATTTATTTCTAATAGAAAAAAGTAACAGAAATTATTTTACCGTACTCATGGGGACAAGGCAGATTTTGTGGGACTAGAAGTGTACACAACTTTGCTGGTCTTCTTCAACAAAATTAATATAGAATTCCTGACGCAAAATTAGTTTCAGGAACTCGAACGGAGCATGTCTAAGTGAGGGGCACTGAAGTTTAGGTTTCATTAGCTTCTTGGGATATCCGCCTATGCACAACGGACAACTAATTTTTAATATTTCTCTGACTATATTGCATAACATTAAAATATTATTACCTTCAGTCACATACTATCTTTCATTTCCTGATTCTCTGAACTTCAGTTTTTTATCTTTCATACCCTATACCTCAGTTATAAAAGATCAACTTTAACAAAGGCCAGAGTTACTCCCTTTCTTAGCAGTATATTCATCTGCAAATCAAGATAAAATAATGAGTTTCCTGTAGACTTATTACAGTTCATGAGGAATTCTGTTGTGTAATTATACTCTTGTTAACCCTCTACTGATATATCCAATAGTAGGGAGAAACAATTTTACCAGACACATAAAACAAACAGCAAATCTGTTTCAATCCGAATATTTTAGTGTTAGAGAAACCACCATGCATTGCAGGTGTAACCTAATAAGCTGTCCTAATTTTGTGTCCACAGGGCTGAGGAGCTACAGTTTAAATGCATATGCATGTTTGGAACTGAAGTCAGTCATCTTCCCTAGGACAAATCTTTACTCTTCTAAAGAAGGAAAATAATAGGGTTTATTTTCAGCTAACCATTTCTAATGGCTCAGTTTTCATTTGTTCAAAGGAATATAATCTAATACTTTTAAATGGGGACAAAACAGTACCATGAGGAAAATACGTACTGCAAATATTTGTGATTGTGTAAAAAGAATCATTCTTTTTAAAATCAAATTGTGTTTTAGCTTTAGCAGTCTTTACTCGATCTTTTAAAATCACAATTAAATATTTGAGACTCCATCCCTACAAAATTGAAAAAATAGTAGATTAGTTATTTTAAACACTATTCATTAACTTTGCTTTCCATGTTATAATAAACCTATGTGTATAAACATTTGAATATGCACGGTATAAAGTACAGGTACAGCACATGTAGTAGTAGTATGTGTGTGTATGGATGTGCATATAATATAAAAATATGAGAAAAATTTTACTTATATAAAAATGTACATATAAATAAATGTGCAGGAGAGTTTCTGAACTAGAATCTGCTTTGCATACTGTTTTGAATGAAAATTATGAATACTGATTTCCTGATTAAAGGAACTCTGTGTTTTGCCATGACGTGTCCTAAAAATAAGCCAAAATACAACTTAATCTCCATCACTTTGTTTCTTAATTACTGATTGACTTTTTTCCTGCTTAAAACGGCATTACAAAGGCAGAGAAATTTAATAATGCAAAAACCACTTTTGAAAGTAAGAGAAAGAATAATTCTAGTTACCTTTTAAATTGGTACTTTTAAAGAGAAATTCAAATCAAAAATTAATTAATTAATTAAATGCTGAGACCAATCTGCCACTGTGAATATAAGCACATTAACCCCAGGAATAGCAAAGAACTACACAAACTTTCCATGAGACTTTACCAGTCTTTATCATTTGGCAAGAAAAAGCTCAGAAAACGTTTCTTGTTTAAATTCTATGAACCTAGACTATGGGAAAAAAATAGAAATAAAAAAGAAATTCTTACCTCAAGCAACATATGATAGGGAGAGATGTAGACAAATGAACAATGTTTGCTGGAAATAGGAATTATAAATCAAATTTTGAAAACTCTGTGCTAAGAAAGGAAGGGGTTGTTATAAATTCACTTAAAGACCCAAACATTTCTTTAGGTTTGGCTAAAGAAATGTCAGTCTTGGATATATATGAAATGTTTTCAAGAGCAAAAATTGAAATTACTGACTTGGAAATGCTCCAAATTGTAAGTCATCATTTCTACTTTGGACAATTGTCTATGAACTCTGTTTGCCTTTAATAATTTTAATTGGTATAATTCTTTCAAAACTCCTTATTTTCAAATAGACAAAAATTAAAGGATGAAATATACTTTGGCCATGACTAAGCATTTTATCTTAGATATTTATAAATTACAGTTTAAATAATTTCATCATTATATTTCTCTCATTTATAAGTTTCACAATATTTTCTTTCCTTTTTTTTTTTTTTTTTTCTTTTAGATAGCGTCTCCTCTGTCGCTGAGGCTGGAGTGCAGTGGTGCAATCTCAGCTCACCACAACTTCCCCTTCCTGGGTTCAAGCAATTCTCCTGCCTCAGCCTTCTGAGCAGCTGGGATTACAGACGCCTGCCACCACGCCCAGCTAATTTTGTATTTTCAATAGAGACAGGGTTTCACTATCCTGGCCAGGCTGGTCGGTCTCAAACTCCTGACCTCGTGATCCGCTTGTCTCAACCTCCCAAAGTACTGGGATTACAGGTGTGATACACAGTGCCCAGCCCACAATATTTTCTAATACTGGCATAAAAACGTCTTCTGAACATAAACGTTCATCCACAGTTTCTCATCCTTTCAAGTTTCTTCTTATCAATTATCCCTTTTGCAAGTTAAATAATAACTAAGGTGTGGAAATTACTGACAAAGCCTAAATATAGAGGTGGAAATTTTCTAGAATCATCAGTTGTAAGTTCTAGTTAGCAGTAACATTTCCTTCTCAATTTTTATGTCAATATATGCCTTTTTCTAATTAATCTGGACAGTTTCATACGAAGAGATATTTTAACAGAATATAAAATGTATCAGGAAAATGCACAAAGTGTCAAAATTCATCATTATGTAAAAATAGTCATAAATTTAAAAAATTGTTCAGAATTACTAACATTGAATGTAGATATGATTATAGATATGGGACTATTGTTTTGGACATTTTCTTTGTCAGTGATTTCTCTCATGTTGACAATGTAATTTGAAGATTTAAAAGTACGTAGGTTTAGATATAATTTATCAGGGGTAAATTATTAGTGAAACAGGTGGTTGTTCTTAAGAGGATTTAATACCAAACTGACTCTTCCTCTAAGAAGTGTTACATATTTTCCTGATCAAACTGATTGGAAAAAAAAAGACAGATGACTATAAAACTTTCTGATAATGAAGAGAAAACATCTGACATAATAAATTCTCAAGGATTTTTACTCAAGCATGATTCCTGGATGTGTCTCATAAACAGTATCCCCTAGAAACTCCTCTTTAATGTATTCAACATATCCCCTCTGACCTTTGTTCAAATGCTCTGGGTATAATCCATTAAAGCAGGAGTGTTATCTAAATTGGTATCTAAAGGGAAGCAATGCAATGTCAATGTAAAATAAATTTCTTTCTTTCCTCTCGGCCATAATCATGATGTATCCTTTTTTCTTTCAGAATTGAAAACACTTTTCACAGCATAGTCATCTATGATGTATAAACCATGTTTACAAAGCCCATATACACAGAAAAAATCTCAGTCTTCAATGAGAACTTTCTTTGCCATGCTAAGATATATTGTAGAGAATGACCACATAGTAATTGGCTATTCCGTTAGTCTTTTCTCCTAACCCCAATAGGTAGGTATCAGAGACTCAAGAATTGTGCAACTCATAGAACGGCATATTCGTTTTCTGTAACTACATAGCGTTAGAACTAAATTTCTTCGAAATTAGTTTGAATATGCTGATATATATGAATAGAAATAACTGACTCCTTTAGTTTATCACCAAAGTTAGAATTCCCTGGATTTTCAAAAGACGAAGTAAAAATCCCTATTGTGTGTCTTCTCTTGGGCAGATTGCCAAGATCTCATATTCATCAGTTCATAATTTATCTTCTTCTGGTACAACTTCCAGAATTATTTGCAATGATCTGGTTATTCTCTCTACAAAGAAATAAAGAGGAATTAAAAATGCATTAAAATCAGAAATGCATAAAAACAGCAAACTATGTATTATTTTGGGTTGAATACCAAAACACACAACCGCCTATTTCATAGAACACTTTCAAGAATTATTCACTTCATTAGAATCCTATCATGCTCAATTAATTTGTCACTTCTGTAACTTCCCATGATGGCTTCTCAGCAAGAATAAATTAATATTTTGCAGGAAAATAAGGACTTTTATTCATGAACCAGAAGGCTGAAAATATTTTGAGACAATAGGACCAATATATAAATAAATATTTCAAAATACACTTCATATTCAGTTTAAAATTGATTTATTTTTTTTTCCACCTATGAGATTACAACCAGTTCCTCATAAGAATTGGGAGGAGAATCAGAATATAATTTTCATTCTCAAACTTGTAACATATTATTGAGAATATTATCCTATCTCCTAGGGCCCAATTTGCCTAGTCAGTACAATGAGAGTCTAACTCAATGAGAGTTAAAGTGTGGTTCCCAGACCAACAAAATTAGCATCATTTAACATATTAGAAATGCATCTTTCAAGTTCAATCCTAGACCTACTAAATTAGAAACTGAAGATGGGGTCTAGCCACCTGTAATTCTGATAGACACAAAAATGTAGGAACTAAGGGCATCTTGAGAGAGGCTGGCTCCAGGGTGCAGAAAAAGGTCAACCTTTTTTCCTTGAGAACCACTGGGCTAGATGATTTCTAAGGTGATTTTATCTCAGCAGAACTCTAATACCTTGGTTTCTGGGGACATTAGTTCTTGTTTGCCTCTTTTTTTTTTTTTTTTTTTTTTTTTGAGTAGGAGTTTCACTGTTGTTGCCCAAGCTAGAATGCAATGTCGTGATCTCAGCTCACTGAAACTTCTGCCTCCCAGATTCAAGCAGTTCTTCTGCCTCAGCCTCCCAAGTAGCTGGGATTACAGGCATGTGCCACCATACCTGGCTAATTTTGTATTTTTAGTAGAGACAGGATTTCACCTTGTTGGTCCAGCTGGTCTCAAACTCCTGACCTCAAGTGATTTGCCTGTCTCGGCCTCCCAAAGTGCTGGGATTACAGGTGTCAGCTACCACGCCCAGCTGGTTTGCCTCTTATCTTTGCGATTAATTCCTACACACCTTTTTCCATGCCCTGCTAGTCCTGGAGCAGTCAGGGCCTAACCTCTTGATGGTTTCAGACTCAGATAGTCTCTCATCTGTACATAGAATCTTTCTCCTCATTCATGGCTTGTTATCCATAATAGCTCCTTTCAAGCCATTTTTAATGACATTTAAAAAGATCTTTTTTTCAACCTTTGCTTTCTGTGTTTGTCAAAGATGTTGTTCTCAACACATTAATTTTACAGTCTACATCAATTATAAAGGGCCCAGCATAGTCCTAGCAAATTATAAGTGCTATGTGAATGTTTCCTAAATAAACTGTGTTTTACACGGCCCACTCATTACATTGAGATGTAAATACAGCATAAGGGAGCACCCAAGAGCAATTAAAGCCCATATTTTCAGAAAAAGGAAATGATAAAATTATCCTGTAAAAATAGGCATTTGTGGCTGGGTGCAGTGGCTCACACTTGTAATCCCAGCACTTTGGGAGGCCGAGGCAGGTGGGTCACGAAATCAGGAGTTTGAAGCCCAGCCTGTCCAATATGACGAAACCCCGTTTCTCCTAAAAAAGCAAAAATGGTGCACACCTGTAGTCCCAGCTACTCAGGAGGCTGAGGCAGGAGAATCACTTGAACCCAGGAGGAGGAGGTTGCAGTGAGCACAGATTGTGTCACTGGACTCCAGCCTGAGCGGAAGAGTGGGAATCCATCTCAAAAAAAAAAAGGCATTTGTGGGAAAAGGAAATATTAATGAATAGTTAAAGAAAATGTAGCTTAGGCAGAGAAGGGGCTAGGGATATGTGAAAGTAGGTTAAAACAAACAAAAAAAAAAAACTGAGAGATTTCGGGCATCTGCAACAGCCAAATGCAAAGCAGGGGTATTCAAGAGACAGCCTCTCCAGCCCTGTCTCCCTAAAGAGATCCTGCCCATAGCCTCCTGATCTAATCTCCATAATGACCGCCCTCCTCACCCAACATGAAAGCCTTTTTCAAAAGTGTCTCTCAATATTCAGGGACCCCAGATGTCTGCTGTCTTAGACATCTTGCTCCCCCATGTCATCACATTGCCTCCATTCAGACAAATGAGGAACAACTTAGATCCTGCTGCTTTCCTACTATGTCATTTCTCCTTCTTCAAAGCTTGGTTTGGATCCCTGATTCAGGAGCACATGGCCAAAGAGTTGCTCTTCCACCTTTGCCCACTTTCTGCTATCTTTCATCTTCTTTTGTGTTCAATCAGCGCTGTTGACAATATCCAATGTGTCTTTCTCATGAGAGCCCTCTTGGAATTTCATGATTTGAATGATTGTCATGGTAATGAAGGCTTCTACGGAGTAATTGATTTTGACCATGAGTGCGTGTTGGAGTCACACCAACTTTTCCTTCTAGATTATCTGACAGCGGTGGACCAGACAGGGGAGCTCAAGAGAGGCAAGTTTGTCTTTAAAGAAGCTGCCAGCTTGCCTGGGAAAACTGCAGAGCATGTGGCATTCAGCTGCCATGTCTACATCCGTGTTCAAAAACAGTCTTTCGGCTTTAAGGGTAATCATCCATGGCACTCTCTCTTTAAATAAAGGTGTGTTAATGAGTCTGCGTTCGGTGTTTTCAGTAACTGTAAGGTTCAGGACCAAATAACAGTTGTAGTATTTTTAGCTTTGCCTTTCATGGTCAGTAGTTATTCTTGAAATAATTTGAAACTGACCCTGCAAAATTTGATCTACTCAACCATACCTGGTACCAATATGGGAACTACAGCAGAAATTGCCTATGTTCGTGATGTAGCACAAGGCCATTTTTTTCTGGATGTCATCACAAGAATAATAGTACTTTTTTAAGGCTATAAAATATTTTCACCAGCATGATCTCATTTTATCTTTACAGTGAAGATAGTTTGGGCCCCTAAGAAATGTGGGCAAGTTTAACTAATTTACATTTTACATCACAGTCTTCGTGAAAAGTCTGTTAAATGCGTTATTCAGCTTTCAGTCGCTTATCATAAATGAAGTTATCTTGACCCACTGCATGCAGAATATGCTTTTAGGACTCTGGAGTTGCAAACTTGCTGTCCACAAAGATGCATTACAGTCATTCCGCTGGTGTTTCCCAGTCTGATTTTTTATAATCAACGATTTTGTTCAAATAAGGCTGTCCTCCATCTCTCTCCCTGAGCAAGAGGGACCCACTTCCAGTCACCGCACTCAACTCTGTATAGAGACAGCCAAGTGCAATGGCTGCTGTGAGTCCTGGCCTGGGTCTGCCGGGTCTCGCTACCTTTGTATATTTACATATGTCATTGGGGTATCTGCCCCTTTTTCCTCCCGTGAGAAGCTTGTGTTTCCATAAGAAAATAAATAATATAACCCACCAGGAGAATTAACCACTCTGTCACAGATGGCAGAAAAAAGCTTTCTGTGTATCTCACTATTCCCTTAAGAGCACGTTTTCTTTTCTCCCTAGAAATGCTATCGAACAAAAAGTGGCTCCATACTGGCATCCTGTGGCTGGAGAGATTTATCAAATCTCTGAAAATCTCAGCTCCTCGGATTCTGAACACTCCCTGGCTGTCAGTACTCAGCAGCCTTTCACCATTTTCCAACTGCTATTTGGTTACCTCTCATTTTTCATGGAAAGAACCTAGGTAAGATGTATTTTGATAGACTATCATTTTCACAGGGCTAATCTACTCGTGCATATCAGGGTAAAAATAAACGATAATATAAAGGTGATGGAATTTTGCCAAATGAAAGGACATGATATTAAATCATTGAACAAACTGCTCCAAGCGAAGGCCATTGGTCTCTAAGTCCGCACTGGGTTTATCTCTAACAAAAAGATCATAGAGTAGCTGGGAGAAGGGTCAGGGCACTGCTTCAGGATTCTGTGGTTTGTGTGTCTGCATGTGAATGTTTTGTTTTGGCCAAAGGCTAAGAAAATACTTCCTATTGCAGCAATAAATATTATGAATTTTCTTTATTTTACTACAAGAATGCTGCCTCAGAGAAAAATCAAACAAAATTACAGAGGATTGTTGGTTTTTGCTACTCACTTTCAAGGCAGCTATAAAGATAAAGAGTTACAACGCTCGCAGTTTAAAAGCAGAATTGCCATGCTCCCTGGTAAGACTTAATGGCATTTCTGAGAACCAAATAACCATTATGGGACTACTCCATTGCTGCTGGTTTCACAAATGGCTAACACTAAATTTGGAGGCCTTGGAAATGTTCAAAACATCATTAGAGACAGAAAAATAGCAAAAAGTTAAAAAAATACAAAAACCTTCAAAATTATATGAGCACCAAAAGACATCAATGAAGGATCACACATAAAGACTGCTTGTTGAGATGAACCGATAGAGAAATAATACAAAGCACACACATGTTTGTTAGCAAGAGGAAAGGACTTCTAGAGTTGGCTGACTCCAAACAGAAGGAACAAAATGCCCGCTGAAATGGGACAGAACAGTGGCTTCGCTCTTTCATCGTGCTCCCTCTCATTTCAGGCGAACTCTAGGACCACCAGCTCTTTCTTCCTCAAGGCTCTTAATTTTCTATGCTGCTCAGGGGTTTTAACAGTCTCGGTTAGTAGGGGAGATGGACATGGAGCCCACAGCGATGAGTGCTAATGTCTCCTAAATGTTAGCAATGAATAAAGCAACCCTAATGCTAAATGTTATTTATTAGGCTCCCTTTTCCCTCAGAATAGGCTCTATATTTAGTGTCTAGAACACAGAAAACTTAAAAACATTCCATAGAAAACTAGTGCGATCTGAGAAGAAACAGAGATTAAATACTCAGTTAAGGCAATCAGTGCGCCTGTGCCAGCATAAACACCTCATTTGTACAGTAACATTTCTTTGGGGAAACAAGAGCCAGATATAAATAGTAGTATAAGATCTAAAGATGCAAAATTCCAGCTGAAGGCTAATAAAAGGTATTAACAAAACTCGGCTTTAAAGGACTGGCTTCTAAATGAGTCTGCATAGCACACTAGAGATTCGATATGCATATCAAGCTTTTTTGTTTGTTTTTCAGTAACAATGAAATTATTTATTAATAATTTAACCAGAAATCCCCCTAAACTTTTAACTGAAATTTTAAAAATTAATTATGGTAAACTAAGTAAATTAAAACAAAGAAGAAATATGAAAGCAACGTTCTAAACTCCCCAAATTCACCAGCAAGAATAGACCTTCCCCTCTGGCTGTATTTGTTACCTAGCTACCCCTCTCTCTCTCCCTTCTACAAGAGATCCAGTCCAGAAAGAGCATGAACTTAGAAGTCAAGCAGATATGGGTTCAAATCCTAGTTCTGTGGTTTAAAATAGTACACTCAAAAGTAAATTCTCCATTTTACTGAGCACTAGTTTTCTCATCTGTACTTGAGAATAACAGCACCTCACACATCAACCTTGTTGAGCATTGGTTGAGATGATCACATGGATCACGTAGGGGAAAGGACCAGGAAAGCCTCTGACAGAGAGATATGCTTTCAACACAGGCTGTTCCTAAGAACCCTTCCTACCTAGTGATCGACTATGCTTTCTCCTCCCCCAATTTAGCTGGTCACCAAGTCCTGTTGGTTTTTCCTTTTAGTATATTTCACTTTCCCTCAGACCTTGATGATACTGCCTGTGTTCAGAACTCCCCTCAATTCTCATCAGGATTGCTGCAGTCTCCACCAAACTCCATATTCCGTCTTCAGCCCCAATCTATTTTAATCCACCCTCACAACCCCCAGCGTGATACTTCTACCTTAAAACAGCCTGCGTTTGAATTTCAGCTATTCTACTTTATATCTGTATGACTTGGAACAAGTGACATGAATTCTCTCATGCTATAATTCAAAGCCTATTAAATGGAGATAATAATTTTTCCTGCCTCAGCAGGATATTGTAAGAATTAAATAAAGCCTTGCCCCCTCCCTGTTTCCACGTGTTCTCATTGTTCAACTCACACTTATGAGTAAGAACAGGCAGTGTTTGGTTTTCTGTTGCTGTATTAGTTTGCTGAGAATGATGGCTTCTAGCTTTATCCATGTCCCTGCAAACAGGAACTAATTCTTTCTCATTCTTTTTTATGGCTGCATAGTATTCCATGGTGTATATGTGCCACATTTTCTTTATCCAGTCTATCATTGACGGATATTTGGGTTGGTTCCAAGTTTTTGCTATTGTAAATAGTGCTGCAATAAACATATGTGTGCATGTGTCTTTATAGTAGAATGATTTATAATCCTTTGGGTGTATACCCAGTAGTGGGATTGCTGGGTCAAATGCTATTTCTGTTCCAGATCCTTGAGGAATCGCCACACTGTTTTCCACAATGGTTGAACTAATTTACACTCCCACCATACCACATGTATGCCTATGTAACAAACCTGCATGTTCTGCACATGTATTCCAGAAATTAAAGTAAAACATTTTTAAAAAGAATTAAAGTCAGACATGTGCACACACATGTGGATGCTGCTATTGTTCTCTTCAGTGTTCTTTTTATTACGATCCTTCATGAGTCACCCTTCCTTTCCAGGTAGTGTACAGTCACAACAATTAAGACATTTGCGGCCACTGCCTAACTCCCCAATAAATCTCATGTCACTCATCAGGTTACATGTTATGATATAGAATCACCAAACTGTATTCAACTCAGAAGAAAAATAATTGAGTTAGTAAGGGATTCAAAGAGAGATTAAGTCGTTTAGAGAACTACTGATAAAATTTCATCTAAAACAAAGCTATTTCTCCTAAGAAGTGATTACAGCAGCCCAAATGATATCCTTAAAAGATTCAACAGTGATACCTTAAATGTCTTACCTGCCAAAAAGCAGTTCCAATTAAAATGCAATAGTGTTCTCAAATCATCAGTTGTGCCACTTATATTTTGAAATGTCAAGTATATTATGTATGTACACCTTTGTGGGTTTTCTACATGGTCTTGCACAAGGTCCTGAAAGTATTGAAAATTCTTACCTGACATTATCCTAAACCACCTGGGTTTCTTGTCCCATATAATAAAGAGATAATATGCAGGCACCCCGGTCAGAGTGATGACGAAGCCAATGCCTGTGCTAAATGGGTCCGAATAGAGGGAAAGGGCAACCATGAAGAGGCACGTGAAGGAAAACAAAGCTGGGATGAACAGCGGGATCTGGAACACAGAACACAGAAAAAGCCACTTCAAACATGTTCAAGCCACAGAAGCTGGGTCTGAGATGAGCGTGTCAGTCATGAGACACACTTCAGTGATAAGCTGTAGTCATGTGACCAGGTGACAGGCACCAACGTGCCTCACCTTAGTAGCAAAATCTCTTTCATGGTACACAGATAATGTATCAAACATACTCCTTTAAATGTAACTCAACTTAATTTAAATTGTTTTTAAATATTTGGATAGAACAAAATCTAAGGACAAGAAAGGATATTTTTATTAGAGATGTTCTGTTGGAATTATTTTACCAGTTAAACACCATGACGATTTGTGATTTTGATTGCAAAAGATTGGCTCATTGATAATTATGATTAGAACTCACTTTAATGTGGAGTCAAGAGGACTGGCTGCTTGTTACATGTGAAAGTCTTTCAGTGCATATTGATTTTCTGTTGAGATTCACAATAAGAACTGACAGGAATAAAACAGGCCAACTCCTATTCAACCGCTAATAAAGATGCTGCCAGCATTAGGCAATGAATATTATTAGAAACAACTCCTGACAACATGACTGACATCATTATTTATGCTATTTCCTAAAAGCAAATAAATAGTGAGGTCAAATGGATCCATGAGCGTTCAAGTCTGAAGGAGATGACAAGCATCTTCTCCGGTCTCCAAAACGGAAATGCTTACTCATGGTAAATGGGCATTAGGTGGTAAATTTATAGGTCTTCTCTTTCCCTGTATACTTTACATTCCTATTCCTTTTAGAGTATGTAATATAGAGAAAGAGCATTGTAACAAGTCACAGCATTAAGTACTCAAAATGCCTGTTTTGTACAGCAGCCACCTTTTTGGAATTGGCATTAATGAAGTGTCTTCCTTACTCCTTGTCAGCAAGGCTGTCTACAACCCCAGCATAAAGACAGACAGAAGTCGCCCATACTTTGACTCTATCAGGTCATTGAACACATTCATGAAAACCCAACATGCCAAACATTTATTCATACCGTCATTTTTCAAAAATGTGAAAGACCAAGTTCAGCACATCACATAAAAATTTTGATGAACTATACTTTTCCCAACTTAAAATAAATCCAGTAGGAAAGCACTGCCTGAAAGAGTTAAACATTTTGACTCCGTAGGCTGCTGCCCCCAGCCCAACCTCCCCATCATCAAGTTATGACAATCGGAGGACTAGGTATTAGGTGAAAGATTTATGTAAACCCATCAAGATTGCTGAGGTTACCTTGAAAGGACGATGCATATCTGGGCATTTGTATCGAAGATAAATCAGCCCAGCAACTGCCAGCCCAATAAAAAGCCACCTGGCAAAACTGAGGAAATTCAAAAGACTGTCGAGGTCTCCAGAGAAGAGCATTATCATTGTCAAAGGGTGCTGAGGGGGAAAGGGAGAAAGGCCAAGCTTGGTGAATTCAATGAAAACACAGATGATAAATGACAATAACCTCGCTATGCATTATGATCTTTCTAAATGATTATGTATACTGATAAACCATCATTATGGTTAAAACCTGGATTTGACTCATCTATTTTCTATATTCTGCTGTCATAATCCATTTACACACCAGTAACGTTATGAGAGTGACATCGCCATTACACTTTATTCTAGTGGAATTCTATATGAATGTTGGTTCCTTTTGCATTTGAGAGAAGATCATATGTTTTCAAAGAGTAAAAGAAAGGGTATTTGATGACTCAAAATTGAAAGTCTCAAAGATTGGGATGATTAGTAAATAATCAATAATAAACAGTAAAAGAGACCCAACTGGACGATTTGCAGAAAGCTCTGTAAATGCTCTCTGATGAGCGCTTGGCTATCCACACACAGGAAGCACAGACACTCATAGGTGATTCTGTTGGCTCTTGGCAAAACTTGGCCTTTTTTCCTCCACATGTACTCTCCCCATGTGCTTGCCGTGTGTGACCCTCAAGACCACGGAGAAGAATGAAGCGCAGAGATCAGCTTAGCAATCTCTGCAGCTGCACATGCCAAGGACAGCATGACTGAGAGCAGAGGCTTAAAACGAAAGCCCTCTTCACGGAATAATACATTCTGTTCCCACAAGTGATGTTAACGTCCAGATTCTGCACAGAGAGTACGCATACTTTAAAAAGAAATTTCAAGGAAACATTCTGAAACAAATTAAATGCATGAAAAAAAATGTTCAGGGCATTCTATGGTGCTCCTGACAACAGATTCCAGTTGAGAGAAATGTTACAAAATCATCAGTAGAAATGAATATAACATTGCTAATGGGTATTTGAGGACTTTTACACCTTATACAGTCTTTTGTAGCTCACATTCACAAACACTTTTCTCTGCATAAAGAATTTTGCAACTCAAATTTACATTCTGGTGCTTTTATTTCATCATGATGCTGTGATTAAAAGTGAGACATTTGAGAGCAAATGGTAAAAGACATTCGCTCTCAGATGTCTCACTTTAGATCATAGCATCATGGCACTGTCTAGGATTTTATCCATGCTTTCAGTAATTTTGTGTGCTTTTCATTATAAGGTGCCTAGATCATACCTCTGGGTACTTTTTAGACTGTAGCTTTTTGTTCCACTTTCCTTAAGCAATTGGGATTTAATACTCTACATCATTTTCTGTGAGGTGCTACATCTATGAGAGGAGCCAAGCTAGTCATTTTCCTTAGACCTTACACATTTCTGCAAAGGTGAAAGAGAGGTGATGTGATTTTTGCCCCAAAGCATCAAACAGTCATCAGAAACATGGAGTAAAGAAAAGGGATGGAAGATACCCTGCCTCCCAAACTCCACCACAACATGCATTAGCAATGAATGAGAAGTGAAGTACTATCTAATGTCTGTTTGGAATTCGTTTTTGCTAACCTATTATTCAAGGTTATATCTATATATACTTGTTAATATGCATTACCAAAACAATAACAGCTGGCAGAGGAGTGTGCTTGTGGACATGAATCATGGAGAGAATTTCTGGAAGGTGACCCTCTCGAGACGCAACATAGAATAACCTGATGGGAGAGAAATGTGGTTGGAGTTGACTGCATGATTGATCATTTCAAAGGGAAAAATCCAGAAATCCCAGAGAAAACTTGCATCGTTTTCATACCAAGTTGTTCGGCATTTCTTAGGTGACTGCCTAAGTTTCACTTTTCAAATAAGGTGGAGAAACATCATAGGAAATCTAAATTTGAATTTTACAAAATCTGCCAACATTTTATTATTCTTTGAAGAGAAGGAATAGCAATATCTGACTGGGCATAGCTCTCCCTACATATAAACAGCTGATGGGGAATTTAGTTCTAGAGTCATAGTGTTATATGTGTGTCGTGATTCCAATTCAACAAACACACGCATATGCACATCCACAGGCACACATGCACAGGCAGCATTCGCATTTATCTGACTGGGTTTTGATCTTACATTAAAACATAAAGACTTTTACATCAAACTAAACAAAAGAAATACAGATGGTGGGGTGGTGATTTCTGATGTCTCTTACTTTACTTTTTTGCTGGCATCTTCAGAGAAACAGAAAATTATATTACCAGAAATAAAATGCCGTTATTAGACTCTGTGGAAACACTATTTTTAAAAAAGCCACATGTCCATCTTCCAAATAAACTATTAATAGGCAAGCAGTGCCCTCTAGTGGACAGAATAAAAAAATGCTGTTGATACTTAACACCAACATTTCAATTTTGCATGTCCCTTTAAAAACAACAGGTTTGGAGGCACTATTTCTTTTTAAAGTTACCCTTATCACATCCAATCTCAAAAACAGAAATGTGTTTCTGAAAATACATGAACTCACTCACCTGGAGACAGCAAACACACCACCATTCATGGAGCCAAAGCAGGAGAGGGCAACAAAGATCGGAACTGCTAATGAGAAATTTCCCAGTAGCCGCTCAGAAAAGGTCTAGTGAAAGAAAGAATGAAGCAAATTAATGCTTTGCCAGAAAGCGGAATAAAATGAAACAATTTAACCCAAACTTGCTTTATGACTTTCTATTAGCCTGGTGATACTTGGATGTTTTATAATTTTTCTCTTTGGTTAGGGTCAGACTAACTCCGTAGACAATAATCAAAAGCAAGGACCATGGCATTGCTTGCTGCAAAACCATAGGCAAAGGTCTAAACAAGCACCTCTCTCTACTTTCAAAAAGCAATGATCCATTTATTGAATCTTTATCAACTATGATGTGTATTGTCTCTGACTCTGGCAAGTGATAAAAGCTCAAATCAGAAATTCGACTTCTAGAGATAGAAATCTTTCTATATAATAACCTCTCTTTAGCCTGGAAAACCATAATTTCTAGTGAAGTACACGGAGAAGTATTACAGATACGTGTTTCATGTACCACTCCCACGATTAGGAGGTAAATAAGATAATTAATGACTTAATAATTTATATCATATACATGATTAGCTCTGAAAATATTTTTCCCAGAAAAATCACACTAGCTAAACCTCTGTTTATAAAGTCACTCCCTCCCCTTTATGTATCTGTCAATTTCTTTTTGTGGTTTTCTATAAAAAAGCTAGAAAAAAAGTCCAATAAGCCACAGAAACTTAAAAGATAAACACAACTTCTAAAATGTTCTTTTATGCCATGATAGGAGCAATATTGCAAATTTCCATGAACGATGTATTTTCAAAAAAAAAAAAAAAGTGTTGGATTCATTAGTTGTCCTTGAAGCAGCTGGCGCTATGTAATTAGTGGGCTACATTATGCCCAAAGAATAAGTGCTGCCCTTTGTCTTGAAAGATGAGATGACTGACCCGACTTCAATAAGCTTTGTATATTTGATTGTCTGGTAGGACTTAGAGCAGTGGTCAAAGTCTTTTTCAATACTGTGAACTCATACACAGGTTCAAATGAAATGAGATAATTTATTCTCTGTAGATGCTGTTGATATGAGGTAATACTAACTATTTTAAAAGGAACTGGCGTCAGATAATGGGTCCTTAATTTTTCACCCTTCATTGTTATGAGGTCAAGAGTGAATGGTCTCTTACTAGCTAAGTTTTATTCAAAATAAAAGTATGTGTCACAGACTAACAGTCTTATGATCTTTGGGGACAAAGATTGTCCAGTGTCAAATACATTTTGAAAAATACTATAAAATTATAAAATGCTCCACATCTTAGGGAGTTAGAACGCATGTTGATATCTTTATTATTCTGAGTAGTATTATAACAACAATATCTGTTTAACTTTGAATAACCCAGTATTTCCTAAATTTATTAATATCCCAGGACTAGTATTCAAAAGGATATACTAAGAAAACCAAATTTATATGGTCCACATCAAAATTCTTAAAGTGACACTTGGGGCAAGGATTTTGAGTTTGCATTTAAAAAGTTCACAAACAGGAAAGTGTACAGAATAAATTATAATTTGCATATAAAAATGCATTTATTTAGATTCAATAACTGTCCACCTGCCATTAAAAACATGCTGGGAGAATAATGCCTTCTATTCAACAAGCCTCGGCAGATTTTCAAGCATGTACGTGTAAAATTGTTTAATGAGAAATTAGAAATAATGGGAAATCATATAGGAATTTAGATGTATCAGTTAAATAGAATATGCTAAGGTATGCTGTAAATTTTTAAAATATTCATTATTATTCAGGTCAAGAAAAGATTACTGAATTTCCAAACACTTTCTGCTGGAGGGAACTACTATAAAATTGCATCAACTCATTAACCTAAATTCCACTTGGCATTTTCCCAATTTGGACTTACCACTGCCACTGCATCTGAAAGCAACAGCTCCTCAGCATTAATGGTCGTAAAGTAGGCCACATTTGTCAGCACATAGCCAATGGTGACAATGACCATGGATATACATATTGCAAGGGGAATGGTTCTGAAATGCACAAAGGAATCACTTATTTGTTATCTTATGTTAGTCATTCTCTGATACCGAAAAAATAACAGCCTAATTCAAATGAAGAATATAACAGCATCTCCAATAATTATAGGCTCTGTTGGGTATGTATACACATTTCATCAGGGCAAAGAACCACATATTCCTTTGCAACTTAATAAGGTCCATGGGGGCAGATACTTCGTCTGTCTATTGCTATACCCCAGAACATATGGATTTATCTCATTCAAGTACTCCATAAATGCTACAGCAGTGTTTCTCAAACTTGAGATGCATCAGAATCACCTGCAGGGCTTGTTAAAACACAGACTGCTGAGCTCCACCCCACAGTTTCTAATTCAGTAGCATTTGCATTCCTCATACGTTCCTAGGTGATTCTGAGGCTGCTGATCAGACCACACTTTAAGAACCACTGTCCTATAAACATTCTAATACTAATTCACTGCCTTGACACCTTTCTAACACTAGTCCTTAAAAACATTTTTCACATTCAATGTTTTTCCCATCAGTAGCTTCCCTTACCACCAAATAAATACACGCTTTCAGAAGCATGATAGTGGGATACATCTACCTTTCTGAATGTGGCAATACTTTTCTATATAACAAAAGAAAGCACAGAAGTGATCATAATGATGACTTTGCACTGCCCTGCTGTGAGTTCAAAGGAAGCTCAAGATTGTGAGTATCTAATAATGCAACAGCACAGATAATCCCATGAAATTAGAGGTGACGTGCTGTGAAGTACAGACGACCGGACAGTGCTGACACAATGTGGCATCAAGAAGTACCCGACACAAACTCAATATTATGTCTTCATTTAATGCACTGGGAAAGCCGGAAAGTTACTGACCCTAATAATTTGATTCCATATTACCAATACACATTACTTGCTTAACATAATCGCCTCTTCAGACTCTTTCCAGTTCAGGCAACTTAAAGCTTCAACTGCCTGCACAAAGGCTGATCATTTTTCAGCCATAGTGCTTATCAGCCCTCATGGAGCCTTCACCCTGCTGGGTGCCACTAATGAAGACCTTAGTAGAATTTCTTCCATGATGAAAATGCAGCTCAGAATCGGGGACGGGGGGGAGGCACAGTCTGCCTCACTACCCAAGCTGGGTGTGTGAGCACACTAAGTCCCAGCACATTATTCGGAACAGCGATATCCCCTGTTGAAAACATGCGAACCTCGCCAGTCAGCAACTGTCATTCATTATACTGCTTGGAGCCTGACACTTCCCCGGATTCCCAAAGCCTTCAGCCTTGATGGGGAAACACATTGACCTCTAAATCCTGACATCTTAATATGAAAGTAGCAGATGGTCCCCTTCCCCAGCGTGAAGAGGGTCCTGTGGAATTTTCCATTAACACCATAACATGCATTGCTAGTTGTGATTGATAAATGCTAAATTTAAGTAAAGGAAATCACTGAGCCAATCAAATATAAAAGGATGAATGGCATAAAGCAAATTAAAGATGAATTCTGTCTCTTTGTAAGAAGGGCTATTGTAAATGCAAAGGGGTAAGAACAAGAAGGTGTATACACAGCTTTTCAACCACTCACTGTGTTATTTTGACCTTGAATCCTTTCAGCTCTTAGAACATTCTCGTATGGGGAGTAAATATTTTCTATGGAGGGAGGGGAAGAGAAGAAAAGAAGAGAAAAAGACTGTGTTTTTTGCAAGCATATGACTAAGGTATATGAAAGTTCCATTACTAAATAATGAAGTGACATTGACATGATTAATTGCAGGGATAGTACCGTCACATCACACGACGCTGTGAAAGCAGAAAGAAAGAAGTCTGAACTTTGGGACTGTGGCTCTCCCAGCACAGAATTGGTCTTCCCAGTCCAGCTCCTCCAAGTCAGCCTCTGCCTGTTCCCTGTCTAGATATTACAGTCTCTCTGAGGGCTGTTTCCTAAATTGATCTAAGCAGAAGGGATCCTGGAAAATCTAACCTTCTAGGTTGGTTTCCCTTCATTCTGTTTGTTAATAACAAAAACAACAGGAGCAGCTGCTACCATTGGGCTGCAGTGTGTCTGACATTTTATTAGGCACTTTACAGATGTGTCTCATTTTGTCCTTAGAAAATCCTGAGTTAGGAACCATTTCTGTATGAGAAAATAAAGTCTTCAAGAGCTTAAATAACTATTTAAAGATACACAACCGGTAAGTGGAAGCCCCAGAATTCAGGTGCATGTATACCCTACATTGAAATTTGGGCATTTTGACCACCAAAGTGTATTCACTTTCAAGCATGTGGGTCCCTCAACTCTAGCACTTTTAAGGACAATCATAGTTGTTTAATAAAAAATTTATTAGAGCTCTTATGAAGCTAGTATTTCTTACGTATTCCTTGATGCTACAGTTTCATCTATTATAAAGAAGGGGACAAACTTATTTCATGACTTTTATACCTTCTATGTGTAACATGAACTGTAATGTGAAGTGAATGTTTTCAAATAGTTTCACTGTTTAGAAAATAGAATTTTAGAGTCATATATTATTTAAAATAAAAGAGAAGCTCACAATAAATTTCTCTAAAAATCATGTTTTATACAAAAGGAGGGAAGGTAAGCATGCGTTTGATAAGCAGAAACAGACTAACAATTTTACTATCAGCCAAATATACTATACAGTGGGAAAAATAACAGCTTAAAATATAAACAAAAGGGAAAGTGTCAATCTTGCTGCAATGAACAGCATATCCAGTAATTTCCCTATAATTATTCTTCTTTAAATAAATGTTTTGTTTTGTTTTGTTTTTGAGACAAAGTCTCACTGTGTCGCCCAGGCTGGAGAGCAGTGACACAATCTCGGCTCATTGCTACCACCGTCTCCCAGGTTCAAGTAACTCTCCTGCGTCAGCCTCCCAGTAGCTGGAATGACAGGCCCCCATCACCACATCCAGCTAATAATTTTTTTATCTTTAGTAGGGACAGGGTTTTACCATGTTGGCCAGGCTGGTCTTGAACTCCTGACCTCAAGTTATCCTCCCACCTTGGCCTCCCAAAGTGCCAGGATTACAGGCTTGAGCAACCATGCCCAGCTGATAATTAGATGGAATTAAGCAATGGCAAGTTGGATGGGGTATGGAAAAATAGCCACTGGCTTCCATTCTTAGGTTCCATTTCACTTTGACAGAGGGAAGGGGGTGTGGAGGCTCTCTTGGCTATCTTGGCATAAACTGCCATTATTGACAGAGAAGAGCAGTTTACTCCTTCAGAAGGGCTTGGCCCCCAGACAGTTAACTCTGGGTTTCAAGTATCAAAGTGTAAGAGCCACTGGGTGAGCTGATAAAAGCTATTAGGCCATGCCAGAGCAATCTTTCCAGAGGCTTTAGATGCAGAGAGCAGATAGCATTGCTAGTAACCCAAGATTAAGGCAAATGGCACTTGATAATGAAAGGAATTAGAGAAAGGAACAAGTGGGCCATGGATATTTCAAAGCTTCTGTGTTCTTTTGAGGTTTCTACCAATCTTAAATGCAGCAAAAGCATTGTTTTTAAGCTGAGTAAAAAGGGACTTGTTTGTTTGTTTATTTGTTTGTTTGTTTGTTTGTTTGTTTTGAGACGGGGTTTCACTCTTGTTACCCAGGCTGGAGTGCAATGGCGCAATCTCGGCTCACTGCAACCTCCGCCTCCTGGGTTCAGGCAATTCTCCTGCCTCAGCCTCCTGAGTAGCTGGGATTACAGGCACGCACCACCATGCCCAGCTAATTTTTTGTACTTTTAGTAGAGACGGGGTTTCATCATGTTGACCAGGATGGTCTCGATCTCTTGACCTCGTGATCCATCCGCCTCGGCCTCCCAAAGTGCTGGGATTACAGGGCCTACTCTTAATAAAATTAAGTTCTATTCTTTCTCAAATGTTAGTACATGTTTGTTATGACTAATAAAAACCATTTATAAGAGTTACTTAATCCTAAGAGCTTTTTGTCATATATGCTCTTTTCAATTAACAAGCATTTAAGTATGTGAGAGTCTAATATTTTTATTAGTTGCAAATGGTCTTCAGTCAAAAAGGTCTTGGATACTCTTCTTTTCTTATAGGCTTATTTTAAATTGGCACTTATAACCAGTCTATGTCACACATACTTGCTTTCTTTGAAATTATTAAATGGAAGTCTCCAAAACATGTGCTTAGAAGCACTTTCGTTCCGAATGATAGGTCTCCCCAGAAATGAAAATGGCCCCTATACTGATGGCTGGTGACTTATGTTTGTATAATCTACAAAGCACTGAATGGGCAAATACATCTTACTTTATTTTTAAACAGATGTATGTCATTTTAAATCATTTGTGGAATGAGAAACAGCATGAGCAAACAAAATTTACAACAACCCGTGGAAATAGGAAGTAATAGCCACAATTTTAAACAAGAAAACCAAAACTCAGAGAGGTTAAGTGACATAACCAAGGTCACAACAGCAGCAAGTGGGATGGCTGAAACATGAACCCACATCTTCTTGCTCTAAGTTCCAAACACATGGTGTATCTTGTCATGATGTCATGGCTGCTTTGTACCTGCTTTAACTCTAGGGACAAGGTCCCCAGGAACTTTGCATGCTGACAAACATGTATTATATTTTATATAAATGAGGCGAATATTAGCAGACCAATTGTCAAGGTGTGACACATTTTAAGCCAAGTATATTTTTCTACATGCCTAATAGTAGAAATAGCAGAAAAAACATTCACGCCAAAAATAAACTTGTAAATAATGCAGAATAAGGTGCATTTTTAAAAGTGTGCTTTGCAACTCTACCATGGAGCATCAGAAATGACTACCGCTTCCAGTGCATCATTTTCGCTACAAGTGAAAACGAAAATGAGTAAACCTAGCTTGATTCTCCAGAGAAGTCAAGGAAACCTGAAGGCTAGAAGGATTTCTGACATTCAGACCACATGAGTTATCTAAATTACATAAATAATTCTCTAATCACCTGAATTTAGGATATTTCACGATGATTTTATAA